TAAATTTTAAAACTTCAATATTTTAAGACTTCAATAATTTCAACATATTTAAATTTTTAATAAATGTTTAAAATAAAAGCATTTTCAAACTTGTAATATTTTAAAATCAGGGAAAGAAATTAAGAAAATACTGGGGCACCTGGGTGGCTCAGTCAGTTAAGCATCAGACTTCAGCTCAGGTCTTTATCCCGTGGCTGGTGAGTTCAAGCCCCGCCTTGGGTTCTGTCCCGACAGCTCAGAGCCTGGAGCCTGATTCTGCATCTCCTTCTCTTTGCCCCTCCCTCACTTGTGCTCACGCATGCTCTCTCTCTCTCTCTCTCTCTCTCTCTCTCTCAAAAATAAATAAACATTAAAAAAATTAATTAAAAGAAATATGCAGCCATTCTTTGTCTCTAGAGAAAGTGGAAAATTTTCTTTTCTCACCCATATGTGAATGATAAAAACGAAGCCAAAAGTGCCTAAACCCATATTCAGTTCATGGTGCTTTCTGCTTCTATTGGATGCACAGAATAAAGAAGTATTTGCAAAAGAAATCAGCAGCTATGTTGTGAATGCTTTCTGTTTTAATTGCACTCCAAAGTGCTGTAAACCCTTTCATTATTTTGTCTCCCACTAGGATATCTTAAACAAAAACAGAATTTTCTAATTAACTTACTGGAGACTTGTGGAGATAACTTGTGCTCGTTTTGTCATTTAAAAGTAATTAAACAGAAGTTCTTTAGTTTAGGGAGAGATCAGGACTTAAGTGATTTCTAAATTATATTTTTGGTATTTTACTTGCAGAAGTAGTTCAAAAATTAAATTGCTGGGAGGTAGTTCAGGAGTAGCTTTAAAATTTATCATTAGCAAAGTTCATATAAGTTCTGTTTTCTGAAACCAGTTATATAAAACTTTGGAGAAAGTTTGCCACTGTTTAATGGAGGAAAACCATCTGAGTATCTCTTATCCTCTACTCCAATTTTCCAGTTGTTTTAGGAAGACCACATTTTAATAGTTTCACTCTTTGGTTAGAAAGCATAGGACTATTCAATACTTTATAGAGTAATATATCACCTACAAAGTTTAGACATCAATGAAGTCTATTATCTGAATCTTACCATCATTCACATTTATCACTCAATTAGTGAGTGACTTAGAAAACATTTCTGTGAAGGTAAAATTCTATAATATATTAAAACTACTTGGAAAAGTATAAAATAATATAGAAATGTAAAATTTTAATACTCAAGTAAATTATGTAAAATATGGAATTCAAGCTATAATTTTACCAATTCCTTAACAGATAAGTGAAATGTGAGATCTTCCTAAAACTTGACTTTTCTCCTAAGGAACAATGGGGCACCTGAGTGGCTCAGTTCGTTGAGTGTCTGACTCTTGATTTCCGCTCCAGTCATGATCTGATGAACCATGAGATCAAGCACCACTTTGGGCTCTGCACTGTCAGCCTGCTTAGAATTAATTCTCTCCTTCTCTCTCTCTCTGCCCCTCCCCTGGTTGAGCTCTCTCTCTCTCTCTCTCTCTCAAAATAAATAAATAAACTTTAAAAAAAGGAACCAATACATTTGACACTCTTGATTTATGAAATGTTAGTTGAATTCAAGTTTAATAATGAAATTACTTCAGTAAAACTATTAGGATACAAGTGACATAATTATATTCCTTAGTAAATAGAATCTCAGCCATGATAAAAGTGTTAAGTTTTATGACCTCTAAAGTATTTTCGTGTCTTATTTGTATACACACTCATATTTGTATATATGAAAGTATTACAAATACCTTCATATTTTTAATCCTCGAACACCTTATCTACCAGATGATATTATTCTATTCTCATTATACATGTAAATGACAAATGGTCAGGGAGAGTAGATGGTTTGCTCTCAGAGACTTAAAACATAGGCCTTATCAAGGGTACCTGGGTGGCTCAGTCAGTGGGTGTCTGACTTCAGCTCAGGTCATGATCTCACAGCTGGTGGGTTCGAGCCCCACATCGGGCTCTGTGCTGACAGCTCAGAGCCTGGAGCCTGCTTCAGATTCTGTGTCTCTGTCTCTCTCTGCCCCTTTCCTGCTAGCGCTCTGTCTGTGTCTCTCTCTCAGATATAAGTAAACATTAAAAAAAAATTTGTTTTAACTTAAGACTTCTCTCCAAGCTCATTACAGCCTCAAGTTGTGAAAATACTCCAGTGGAAGCAATTTAGGATAGCACAGGCGTGTGCGTGAGTGTGTGCTGCCTTACTGTGCAGCACCAGTGTCACCTGGAAGTTTGCTAGAAACGCAGGTTCTCTGGCTCCTACCCAGACCTACGGAACCAGAAACTTTGAGGGTGGGGCCCAGCAGGCTGTGCTTTAACAAGCCTTCCAATGGATTCTGATGAACCCTGAAGTCTGAGAACCACCGGCGCGGATTTTTTTTCCCCATTTTATTTTCTGGTTAATTAAAATGTCACATCCAGTACAATCCCACTATATTGTTAGCTTTGAGAAGGAGTCTATCAATGCATACAAAAAGAGTCAGCCTTCATTGAACGCTTACCACGCAGCAGGTATTGTTCTGTGTACCTTCACCCATCGGATCATAACAGTAAGCCCTGGGGGTGGGCAGTATCACTGGTCACCGAGAAGTTGAGAACTTGGACGATTTCCCTGAGGCCACACTGCTAGGGGCAGGGAAGGGGTAGACAGATTGGAGAACCCATACTCTTACCCATACCTTAATCATGCCATATACCGTACAACCTGAGAACTTGTACATTCACCAAATACGCCTCAAGGTAATGCTGCAAGGTGTCGTAGAAAGTGCATCGAGTCTGGAGTTAGACACACCTAGGGTTGGGTCCCCAGCCAGTCATCTAATGGAAAGAAACTTCCATTGTGGAGGTGAAGGAACCAGACAAACTGTTTCAGAGATCCAGATATAGGTTTGTGACCTAATAAGTAGAGGCATTTCTGTAAAATGGCTGCTTTCTTAAAATTAGGTCTTCTGCCTTTGGCTTACGTAGACCACGAAATACTGGGAGAATGGATGCAAAATTATTGCCTTATAAATATTTATGAATAAAATAGCAAAATATGAGGAATCTAATGGGAATTTTTTTCCATGCTATTTCCCTACTAACAATGATAGATATTTGTTTCTTTGTTGCCAGCTGCTTCTGTTCTGTAGTCATGTTCTGAAAAGAACAGTTGAACCCAGGCAAGCAAAAGCCCAATACTTCACAAAAAGAATTTAATTTATATTAAAATATAGCTACACAAGAAAGAAGATCTTGAATAGCTTCCTGCTGTATCCATATTTCCATCTTGTCTAATTTATACAGTCCTCGGAGTGGTCCTTTAAAAACATAAATAAAACAAGTGTTGGTGAGGATATGGAGAAAAAGGAACCCTCTTGCACTGTTGGTGGGAATGCCAACAGTATAGCCACCGTGGAAAACAGTATGGAGGTTCCTCAGAAAATTACAAATAGAACTACCATGTGATCCAATAATTTCATTATGAGTATTTACCCAAAGATAACAAAAATACTAATTCAAAAAGATACACGCACCCCTGTGTTTATTGCAGCATTAGATACAATAGCCAAATTATGGGAGCAACCTAAGTATTCATCAGTAGAGAAGTGGATAAAAGGTGCGTGTGTGTGTGTGTGTGTGTGTGTGTGTGTGTGTGTGTGTGTGTGTGTGAATATTATGCAGCCACGAAAAGGATGAGATCTGCCATTTGAGACCATATGGATAGACTTAGAGAGTATTATCTAAGTGAAATAAATAAGACTCGGAAAGACAAATACCATGATTCTACTCATAAGTGGAATCTCAAAAAAGTGAATAAACAACAAAAAAAAAAAACAAAAAAAAATACAGATTCAGACCTATAAATACAGAAGACAAACTGATGGTTGCCAGAGGGGAGAAGGATGGGGGTGTGAGCCAAATCAATGAAGGGAAGTGGGAGATAAGGTCTTCCAGTTATGGGATGAATAAGTCACAGGAATATAAGGCACAATACATTCAGTGATCTTGTGATAGCAATGTATGGGGACAGACGGTTGGTACACTTGTAGCAAACATAGCTTAATGTATAAACCTGTCAAATCTGTAAGTTGTACAGTTGAAACTAATGTTACATTGGACATCAACTGTACTCAAATTTTTAAAAAAAGAAAAACATAAATAAGATCATGTCATTTCCCTATAAACCCTTCAACAAGAGTTTCTTATCACACTTAAAATAAAGCCTCATTGTGGCCTGCAAGTCCTCCATGAGACAGCTTCAGTCTCTCCCAACCTCTTGCTCTCACTCGCTCCTCCTCACAAGTGATCCTTTGGTACTCCTTGAACAAATCAAGCAAGCTCTGGCCTCAGGGCCTTTGCACTTACTCCTCCCTCTTCTCAGAAACTCTTCCCAGATGTTCACAGGATTTGCTCCATGACTCCATTCTGGTCTCCGCTCAAGTATCAACTCCTAAGAAAGATCTTCCCTGACCACCTTTAAAATAAAAATCTCGGGGCGCCTGGGTGGCGCAGTTGGTTAAGCATCCGACTTCAGCCAGGTCATGATCTCGCGGTCCGTGAGTTCGAGCCCCGCATCAGGCTCTGGGCTGATGGCTCGGAGCCTGGAGCCTGTTTCCGATTCTGTGTCTCCCTCTCTCTCTGCCCCTCCCCCGTTCATGCTCTGTCTCTCTCTGTCCCAAAAATAAATAAAAACGTTGAAAAAAAATTTTAAAATAAAAATCTCAACCCTTGTATCCATCTATCCCAAATCCATATTTTGTTTTTTATTCGTAGTACCTACCATTTGCCTGATGGTATATACTCACCCATTAATTTTTAATTATCTTTCATTCCACATAGGAATTCAAGCTCCCCAAGGGCCAAGGCTTTGTCTGATGCTCTACTGTTTCCCTGACACTTACAACAGAGCCTGGCAGTGCTGTGGCCAGTTATTATTGATTACTGTTAACTTTCTTTAACATTTTTCTTCATTTGTTTTCATGTGCAGTATGCTGCAGAATAATCACCTAAGACAGGTACCGGCGGGAGCACTGCAGAATTTGCGAAGCCTTCAGTCCCTGTAAGTACAGTTAAAATTGCAAAATGTTCTCAGGACCAATATGGGAAGGAGCAATGAAATGTCCAAATAACCATTTTCATCAACTCCTTGGTTGGGGACCCTAGCTAAATAAGTTGTGAGTGAATGAGACTTTTCATTATGGCAACAACCCTTTGAATCTTCATTAAACAATACGGGGGGGGGGGGGGGGG